TCAACCAAGGATTTATGCAAGAGGCGTCCGCAGCTGCTGAAGGTAGTGCTGGTTCACGTCCTTCTGCATCTGCTTGACTTGGTCTGGCTTCCGCCTAGGAGCCGCCAAACCATGTTGAGGGATTTGGTTGAAGATGGTTGAAGGATGTTGGAGGGATGGGCAGGGGATTTCTGACAAGCAACGCCTTGCTGAAGACATCAAGGGTTCTCACTAAAAAATGAATAGCTTCCAAACTTGTTCTCTACAAATTGACCATCCCCAAAACACTCCCAAAGCAGCTGACAACGGTCATGCGTTTTCCTCGCCGATTTCAGTTATATAATAGCAGGCTGTGCTGCAGGTGGACTGCTCAACTATACTCACGCAATCCTTAGATGTGATCCAGCATGACGACCTCCGTTGCGTTCATGGGCGTCGATCACTGGCCAGGCGCAAGGCAGCAACCTCTTTCTCCAACTTCTCAATGCGTTCTTCCAGCTCTGGAATGGCTGCATTCTCACTCGTCAGCACCCATGGGCTTGAATCCACACTTCCTGTTGCCATAGCCTCCGACTCGCACTGTTCCACCATACGCTGCACAAACAGCAAGAAGATCCTGTGCTCCAATTTCTGACTGTCACCCCAAGTCTTGCTGAAGGTGAGGATCCACCGCTGCTCGTGATCCCACACTTGTTTGAAGCTTTTGCCGACGTGAGTTTTCCCAAAGCTCACTTCCTGCTGTTCAAGCTCCTCAAGAGACATGTTCTCAAAGACAGAAAAGTCTACCTCCGCCTTTTTCTGTGTTCGCCCTCCTAGCTGCTGCAATGTGGCCAGACGATCCGCCAAAGAAGGCATAGTAGAAGAAATGAAATCCAAATGCGGGGATCAGTGGGGCCTCTCACAAAAGAACCTTGAGCAAGCTGAGGTCTTACAGGTGTCCAGCGAAAGAAGTGATGTACATGGATGAACCAGTGCCTCAAAGACTCCTAAAGATTAAATGGTTCCAACCAGTGGTTTGCAATATCCTCTACAAAATGCAAGGCCCATATGACCACTGCACCCTTTACTTTCAGGCAAGTGGCAGTGGCATCATGTGCAGCTGGAAGATCGTGTTTC